CTGCACTGAATGAATAACTTTTCTTTCTCTGCTTTTCATTGTGACTTGTCTGTTAATTGGCCCACTGTGAGAGAGGCTGGGCATAGGTGGTTAAGGATACTGGGGCCCGGGCTTGTACCCTAACTGCCCCGGCCCGCGGGGATTTGACGAGACCTTAGGGAAGGGGCGAAAGAATGAAGGGACAAGAGACACAGGGAATGAGAGCAAGTCTGGGGTTCTGATCAAGCTCTGAAACTTTAATTTTGGGTTCAGGTTATAAAGACACAGCAAACCAGGAAGTTTGGGTGAGGGTCATTGCTTAGGGCTATCCCGCTATTGAATGCTTATTGCCCTAGACCATCCCACTGTCACATCGTTATTGCCCTAGACCATCCGACTGTCGTAACCGGCTCCCAGGAAATACCAGACGTTCTTTAAGTTCCTGGGGCCTGAGACCTGCGGAAAGTCCTTTCTTAACCTTGCACTGACTAGGCTTTCAAGAACAGCAGGCAACTTCCTGGGTTCTCTTAGAACAGCAGGTAGTTTCCTGGGTTTGGCTCCCGACACCTAACAACTCTGACAACAATTTTAGTGAGGTGATGGTATCAGAAACAAGCAAAAGAAACCTATTCTAAGGACTACCATTTCATTTTCAGACTTCATTTAATCACAGGAAGAAACTAAATTCAAGATCCCAGGGCCTAGAGGAGCTGGGGATTTCCTTATAACCGAAGAGCTTCTGTTGTAATCAGTTGTGTGAGTCCAGACATCTCAAGAATAACTTCTCCATCTTGCTTGAAGGGTCAAACAAGTCCATGTTCCCAGGCCTAGGAATGGACGCCTATCCCACTTCTCCAAGTGTTTTCTTAATTGTCTGCCAAATAAGAAATACAGAAATTGTTGCTGTCTAAACCAAAGTGCATAAAGTATAAAAATATATAACCAATTGCCTGTTATGTCCTAATTAACTACATGCAGCTGACCCACTCCTTTGTCTCCCTATCACTCTGAACTCTGGACCCAATGCCCAGGACAATAAACTAAGGACCTTAAAGCCAGGTACACTAGATTGGCCCAGGCTCCAACGGGTACTCCCTTGCTTAACCCATCATGTCAAAATACAATTGGATAACATTGCAGCCCCCCCAGGCTCCATGCTTGTTTTGTGTTCCTATCCTTTAAACATGAACACTTGCCTTTCAGGAACTCAGTTCAGATCCTGAACTAGCTTCCTCCCTGAGGAAGTTAAGGTTTCATTTTTAAGTTTCCGTATCTGATCAGTTTTCTTGGCTTCCACCCCCGGAACCCAGCAACAATTCTGAGTACATATTTTTCCTTAGAAAGTTGGCTCAAAGTAGAGAAGAAGGACTGAGTGGTCTGAGAACCCTGGGGTCACTTTATTCTGGGGACACTTCCCTTACTCTTCTCACTTCAGCAAGCATCAGCTGATTTCTAGCTCAACCTGGTGAAGCAGGGAAATGAAAGTTCTGTTTTTGTTTTGGACTCTTGACTAAGTCAATTCTTGGTAATTTCTTCTTGATCTGTGCCCCTCAGTTCGAGTCCTCTGAGTGGCCTGATGCCTGCCTGCTTGCTCTCTCTTTCTTTCCTTCTCTCTCCCTCCCCTCCTCATGGGTGTAGGCCTCCAAGCTTTGTCTGTTGAACACCTAGGAGGGGAGATTCGCTGGCTTTTAGTTTTAACCTTTATGTAACATTTAGGCAAAGCACAGGCAACCTTTAGTGGCATTGGGTGTTTCAAAAGGCTCCTTTACATGCTTTTCTCCCTTGGCCTCACAAAAGTCAAAGAGCTTGTCGTGCTTCTGAAGGAAGTTGACCCCAGCCATTGCACCAGATATTACAGATGTCTCTCTGTTCTTGTCTTCTTGAGGTAAAGGATTCAGGCAGAGCATGCACAAGACCTGCATAGGTTCAAGCTGACTGGGTCAGCATTGAGTGGGAGAGGGTGCATGGGATCTCACCCCTAACCAAGAAGCTACCAGAAATTGATATCTACCTGTAAATGGAAAGTAGGTGTTTCTGCAATAGTCTCACTGGTACATTCAGGGCACTCCAGGGCAGTCCCCACATGTAGTAGTAAGCTCCAGGAGTAGCTAGCCAACACAGAAGGAACTCGGTGGTATTTTTTGTGAACTTTTTGTTTCATTTTGCTTTGGTTTTAGCATTTTTCACCTTATGAGTCTTTTGACTGTTTTGATTTTTGTTTTTGTGTTTTTGCAGGAATTGTGTGTGGGAGAGAGGGGAGTGTGTCTTGGGCTTTTATTTTGTTTTTGAAAGACAGAACATAAAGTGGGGTGAGTAAGGAGGTGAGGAGAGTCTGAGGAGAATGGGCTAGGAAGAACAGTATATAAATATAGTAAATACAGTTGTTCAGCTAAGCCAGGCAGTAGTGACACACACCTTTAATCCCAGCACTTGAAAGGCATAGGCAGTCGGATCTCATGAGTTTGAGGCCAGCATGGTCTATAAAGCAAGTTCCAGGAAAGCTAAGGCTACACAGAGAAACCCTATTTCAAAAACAAAACAAAAATATCTTTTTCAATTAAAAAAAAAAAAGAGAATTCAGCCAAGTGACATAGGTAGTTTGAACAGAAGTTTATTTAGCAAAGCTAAGTGAAGCACACATTCCAGATAACGGTTAAAGTGGTCTTCCCCTCGGCAGTGGTCAACCTGGTGGATTCTGGACCATAGATTTCAAGGAATGTTTTATGAATGGTTGTGAAGTGGGTGATATATTTATAGAGTTAGGTGATCCCTTCCTCCTTCCAAAATATGGTGAACAATATCTTTCTTTTAGGGTTTTTCTTCCCATGATCCTCCCAAAAGGTGTGTGTGTGTGTGTGTGTGTGTGTGTGTCTGTGTCTGTGTCTGTGTCTGTGTCTGTGTCTGTATATATGTACCACAATGCAAGGGATGTTATAATGACATCAAATCTTTTGAAGATACAGACCTTTGGTGGAGCCCAAGTCTGGATTCTCAGAAGCTTTCATTTCTGATATAATGTGAATAATTTATCTTTAATTTTAAGATGGTTCATCACAAAAGGCCATTGTCTTAGAGTTTTATTGCTTTGAAAAGACACCATGACCAAGGCAACTCTTCTAAACTTAATTGACTTTGCCTTATAGTTTCAAAGGTTTAGTCCATTATCGTCATGCCAGGAAGCATGGCAGTATGTAGGCAGACATGGTGCTGGAGGAGCTGAGAGTTCCACATTATGATCCACACACAGCAGAAGGAGGCCATGTGCCACACTGGGAGCAGCTTAAGCACAGAAGACCTTAGAGCTGATCCCCACAGTTACATTTCCTTTAACAAGGCTACATCCACTTCAACAAAACCACATCTCCAAATAGTGCTCCTCCCTATGACAAATAATTCAAATACATGAGCCTATGGGAACCCTTCCTATTCAAAACACCATAACCATCCTAAGCATTAAGAAAAGAGACATCAAGTCACATCTGCAGTTTTCCTTAGTTATTCATAACTATCTCATTCTTTATCCAGTATCATAAGGACCTGTGCAAATTTAATAGCTGCAGGTCAGCAAGAGACTGTGCCAGAGACTCAACCTGCCAGCACTTGATGTTGGCAAAGCCCAGAGAAGGCAATGCATGTGACCTATCATGAGTGCCATGTGAGCTCACAATGTGATGGGTTTTTTGTTTTTGTGGCTCCAGGTTAGCAGTAAACATCATAGGTAAGAGACAGACATGGGGTCCAGCAGTGAGGTGGAGGTAGGGGGAAAGGGAGTTGCCAGATGGTGCTTGGGGAAGACTGTAGGGTTTGTTGAAGATAAAGCTGAAGAGAAGGACACTAAAGATGTCCATAAGCTCTTTCTTGTGGAAGGAAGGAAGATGTATTCCCTGAACCTGGGGGGTGCCTCAGATAAACCTTGACCCTGTCCGGAAGCACCAAAGATCTTACTTTATCTGGGGAAAGGGTCTTCACAAATGTAATAAGTTATAATGGGGCCATAACAAACTCTAAAGGCCATGATGTGCACGCTGTACTACAAGAAATGGGACCATGACACAGGCACACAGAAGATGAGAGAGAACACGGAGAAGACAGAGTTGGCAAGCCCGCAACAGAGGGCATAAGAAGACATAGGCCACAGCTACTGCCCTGTGACATCTCAGTTTCAGACATCTGGCCTTCACAGTCCTAAGATTATTTGTATTTTCCCTTTTTTCCTTCCTTTGTTTGTTTTGCTTGCTTGGTTGGTTTTGTTTTCGTGGTACTGGGATGGAGCCCAGAATCTCACTTATGCTACACAGTTGCCTACACTGGGCTACACATCTCCAGTAAGACTTCTGTGTTGATTTCTTTATCTAAATCACCAGCTCTGCAGAAGTCTGTGATGGAGCCCTAACAAAGGGGACCACAGGGAGCGAGGTATGAGGGTAACAGCTAGATGGTTTCCTAATTATACAGACTAAAAACACAAGATGATGATACAAACTCTTGAGAGGAGTGCAGTTATTTGATGGTTTATTTAATGATTCAGGTACAACATTTAAGAAACCGAGAGCTCCTGGCTGAATCACAGCCACAGAAGCAGGGGAGAAATGGGAGAATCCCTTCCCTCATGACTTAACTTACCGGTCTCCAGTGCCTTCATGCCCTGGATATTAAATTTCAAAGTAAGTAGGGCTCAGGCAGCTAGGAGGGGGATGAGGTTGAGGGCTGTGGTGACAGGGGCCACTGAGAGCCTCTGTTCAGAGGACATCCAGTCTCAGAATGTCCCTAGCAAGTGAACTGGAGCCTTGGAATCCTTGAATGGCCGACTGGCAAAAGTAGGAGAGAAGAGGGATTTAGGAGTTTGGGCAGGACTCAAGACATGGTGTGCCCCATAACCTCAAGGTTGCAGGTTAGGTGCTGATATTGGCACCTCACCCTGGCAAAATCAGAGAATGAATGAATAATTTTTTCAGGATATCAGGATACAGTTTTGGTTAATCCTTGAGGACCAGATATTCAGGAAACCTGTAGACAGAACCTCAGATCTTGCACTGGCAACATACAGGGGTACAGCAGCTGGACTGACAGCAGCAGGGCTTACAACAGCTGGACTGGCAGCAGCAGGGCTTGCAACAGCTGGACTGACAGCAGCAGGGCTTGCAGCAGCTGGACTGACAGCAGCAGGGCTTGCAGCAGCTAGACTGACAGCAGCAGGGCTTACAACAGCTGGATTGGCAACAGGAAGACCCACAACCTGAAGAGCAGCAGGGCTTACAGCAGCTAGACTGGCAGCAGCAGGGCTTGCAGCAACTGGATTGACAGCAGCTGGATTTACAGCCCCCACAGGAGCCACAGCCTCCCTTGCAGCCCCCACAGGAGCCACAGCCTCCCTTGCAGCCCCCACAGGTGCTACAGCCTCCCTTGCAGCCCCCACAGCTGGAGCAGGAACAGACAGGCACACAGCAGCACACAGGTTTGCAGCAGCACACAGGCTTGCAGCAGCAGCTGGAACCACAGCCCCCACAGCTGGAGCCACAGCCCCCACAGCCTGAGCCACAGCCCCCACAGCTGGAGCCACAGCCTCCTGAACAGCCACAGCAGCTCATGGTTCTGGTGTTTGGTTGAGGATGGAGTAGGTCAGAGGAGCAGGTGGATAGGAAGTGTGCAGATGTGGAGTCTCCTGAGCCTGGGTCTTTATATCCCTGCCCAGGTGTTTGTGCTCAGCACATGATCATTTCTTATGTTTACGTGTAGACAAGACTTATTTTTAGTCTTCCCAGTCCAATGAGCTAATTCAAGGAAGGAGGAAAGGAAGAAAAATAGGAAAGGAGGAAGGAAGGAATAATGAAAGGAAGGAGGAAGTGGGTAGAAAAAAGATAAGGACAGAGGGATGAAGCGGGATGTCGATCTTGACAAACATTTTAATATTTAATATTTAATTCTGTTTTTCTTCTGGATGATATTTATTGCTGTCTTCAAAGTCTGCCCACTTTTCTTTCAGCAATGTCTAATATGCCATTAAAATCATCTATCATACTTTTACTTCACAGTGATTTTTATCTCTAGAAGTTCTATGTGGATATTTTATACTCTCCATTGGGCAGAGGTGAGGGATCACATGACTGGGAATCAGTAAGGCTCAATATCCATGTCTCAGTGCCAAATGTGGCATCAAGACCATGGCTGTCTATCAAGGGAAGGTGGGACACCTCTTTCTTTGGATCAATTCTTATAAGATTACAATCTGCAAATGACAAGAACCTTTCCTGTCTCCAGCCTAAGTCCAGCACAGAGGCAAAGCCATTCCCACACTTAAATTGGCACCTGTTGGAGGAGAACCTGAGGGGTGCAAGCCAGCCAGGGAGGCTGAAGCTGACATCTGACTGTGGGCAGCCCTCCACCTTCCAATCCAGCTCCACCATAGGCTATCCTGCTTAGTTTTTCTATTAACTTGACACAAGCTAGAGTCATCTGGGAAGAGCTAAAATGCCTCTATCAGATTAGCATTTTCTTGATTGATGTCTTGTGGGAGGGCTTAGCCTACTGGGGTCAGTACCACTCCAGGGCATGTGGTCCTGGACTGTGTAAGAAAGCAGACTGAGCAAGCCATGGAAAGCAAGACAGTAGGGAGCCTTCTTCCACATGTCTGCTTCAGATCCCTCTTCCAAGTTCCTGCTCTGACTTCATGTTGGACTGTAAGCTCTAAGATGAAATAAACTCTCCATGTGCTGCTTTCGGTCATGGTGTTTATCACAGCAATAGAAAGCAAACTTGCCTACCAGCTCACATGAGCCGACTACAGCTTTATCTTCCATACACTCCCTGCCTCCTCTCTGCCAGGTGATTTTCTAGTGACTGTTTTTTTTTTTAATTTTACTTTATGGTTTACATGGTCTTGTTATGGATTCTCAATGCTGTTCTTAATTATTTCCTTAAACACACACACACACACACACACACACACACACACACACACACACACACACCCCTTTTTAACCAGTATGTGATGGTGCATACCTTTAATCCCGGTGCTGGGGGTTACAGGTAGAGACACATGGATTCCTTCAAGTTTGAGGCCAACCTGCCCTATATAGCAGTTCCAGGCAGCCCAGTGACACGGTGAGAACATGTCTCAAAATACAGAGCAGAGCAAAGCAAAATAAAACAAATCTTGTTTGTTGTTGTTGTTTAATTAGGACACATTTGTTGTCTGAAGTGAGAGGTTTCAAGATAACATTCTGTGCATCCATTTAAGTACGCCATGTATTGACCATATTCACTTCTTACCCTTCTGGTTCCCCTTCCCCTTTCCAGATAGTGCCTTCCTCTTGGTCCCTCTTCTGCTGTCATGTCATTACACATATGCACATGCATGCGGGTTTCTTTCTTAACGTTAGTGTTTCCCAGTAGCATCCATTTCCCTGAACGTGGTATAATTTTATTCCTTACAACTCCATTGTGCATGTAAACCACATTTGCTTTATCCACTGATCTGGGGGTGGGCATCTCGGCTGATCCCATAGCCTGGCTGTTGTGTATGGACTGAGGGTGCAAAGGAGTCTCTGCTCTGTTGATGTGGGTTGCTTTGGCTGTCTCCCCAGGAGTCATATGCTGGGTCTCATGATAATCCTACTCTCAGTCCTTCAAGAACTTCCATGCTGATTTCCATAGCAGCTACAGGAGTTTTCCCTCCAGCAGTGTTTGAGGGGTTCTCTTCATTTTGTTTGTTACTTGATTTTAACAGTAACCGTTTTGACTGGGATGAAGCAGAATCTAGTATCCTTTGGATTTTTCATTTCTCTGATGGTAAGAATGTAACCGTCTTCTGAGAGGCATCCTGCAGCTGATGGAAACAGATACAGAGACCCATAGTTGAACATTAGGTGGAGCCCGGGAAGTCTTGTGAAAGAGTGGGAGCAGGGACTGAGGAAACCAGAGGGGTCAAAGACAACAGAAGAAGACCTATAGAGTTAACTAACCTGGGTTTGTGGGGGCCCACAGAAACTGAACCACCAAGCAAAGAGCATGTATGGGCTCACCTAGGCCCCCTACACGTTTGTAGCAGACGTGCAGCTTAGCCTTCATGTGGGTCCCCTAACAATTGAAGCTGTCTCTGACTCTGTTGCCTGCCTTTGGATTCCTTTTCCCTAGCTGAGCTGCCTGTTGCGACTTGATATGCCAGGGCAAACTGGTACCCATGGGGGCTTCTCTTTCTCTGAGGAGAAGGGGAGGTGGTAATGGAGGGAATGGGGCATGAGGGTGGGACTGGGAGGAGAGGAGGGAGGGGCTGTGATCAGGATGTAAAGTGAGTGAATAAATAAATTAATGAAAAAAAGAGAAAGAAGAATGTTGACTTTCTTAGTGTATATTTTTGGCACTTTGTACTTAATTTTTATTAAATTTTTAGGTTTCTTTATTTATTTTGTGAGCCCAGCACCCTCAGTGAGCAGAAGAGGGCTTCAGATCCTCTGGAACTAGAGTTGGAGGTAAACCAAGTGGGTTGGTTGTAAGCCATTGAGTGGGGGCTGGCACCAAATTGAGTCCTCTGCAAGAGCAGCTGGTGCTCTCAACAGCTGGTCCCTCTCTCCAGCCCCCATGCTTCACCTTTTAAAAAATTATTTTATCAACTCTTTGAGAATTTCATGCAATTTATTTAGATAATATTTGCCAAACTTCTCCCCTTAACTCCTCCCAAGTTCATTTCTACCTTCCTACCCCCACCCCCATTTTCATGTCCTGTTTTATTTGATTTTGTCAATTTTTGAGACAGACTCATCACTGTTTGCTGGCCTCAACTGGTGAAAATCCTCCTGCCTCTGCCTCCCAAATGCTGAATTTAAAGGCACACACCCATATGCCTGGATATTCAGATTCTTTTAAATATAACATTATATCATCCACAAGATAAATTGACTTCTTCCTTTCCAGCACATAACCCTTTTATTTCTTTTCTTGCTTTATTACTCTGGCTGAAACTTCAAGCCCTATACTAAACAAAGGCGAAGAGAATGAAGCTGGAGAGATGGCTCCTAGGCTAATGGAACTCGCTGCTTTTCCAGAGAACCCAAGTTGGTTCCCAGCACACATGTAGGCTAGGTCACTGTATCTACTGTCATGATCATGTGATTTCTGTCTCTGGTCCATTGATGTTTAGTGTTTACTTGTGGACATTTTCCTTTTCTCTTTTGTTTGTGGTCACAGAGTTTGGGGAGGGTATCTCTTCCTTCCCAGTGATATTAGTCAGTGTATGTTATAGAGGAACAGAGAAACAGAGTGAGTATATATTAAAAGGGGATTTATTAGGTTAGCTTACATGTTGTGGACTGGGTAGTCCAACAATGACTGTCTTCACACTGGAGAGAATGTACAACATTGGACCCAGGATGTGACACTTATAAGCCTTTCTCATTGCTGGGACAAAATACGTGATCAAAGCAACTTAAGGAAGGAAAAGTGTATCTTGTAGAGTTCCCCATGGCTGGGCAGGCACGGTGGCAGAGATGGATGCTCCCTCTGCCTTTTGATTCACACTGGACCCAAGTCCACTAATGATGCTGTCCATTGTCAGGGTAGAGTTTTCCCCCTTCTTCCTCCTCCTCCTCCTCCTCCTCCTCCTCCTCCTCCTCCTCCTC